AATCGAAAGTACAAAAAGAGCTAGTGTAAATAGAATTTTGCTAAATTTAGATAATTAACACTGAGGTCTAATCGGATATGTATAGTGCGTCAACTCACAAAACATAACAGTTTTCAAATAGTTTTTGAAAGTTCTGATTATCTAGTTTTGTTTTAAAATTTAAGGCGTTTATTAGTTTGACGATGGATTTTAGGTCGAATATTAGTTTATTTTAATAAAATTTGGGTGCGTCAGAATACCCGACCTCACCTTATAAAAATTTTAAGAAATATGATCGAGCGTAGCGGGTATGCCCCGAGTTTACAGGTCGTTACACGAGCGATCGATTCAATTGATTTAAATTTTTTTTTTATACGTGTTATAATACTTTTTTCGGAAGCTCGGGTAGATTATCTCATCTTTAAAGCAGGCCAAGTGCTCTAAGTAAACTTGAAATTTTCGTCTTGCTTTACAACATATTCGCTTAATCTTTTAATCCCACACGACTTTCATATTACACTTCACCTGCCAAAGTAATAAGTAATACTACGTTGGGAAATTCTCATCCGTTGAGAAAAAAAAATAACGATTAACGATGGTAGAGAAACTAGCTGATTATACGTGTCGCATAAAAATCTTTTAGAAAATTGAAAATATACGAATAATATATATTTATTGGATGCGAAGCACCCAATAATTCGGGTTATTTGGCAGGAAAAGAGGTTATTTTGGTTATTCGGCAAAAATTGATAGTTTATTTTGGTTATTTGGCAAAAATTGATGGTTTATTTTGGTTATTCGGCAAAAAATGATAGTTTATTTTGGTTATTCGGCAAAAATTGATACAGTACGTAGCTTATTTCATTTGATCGAGATGTACTGTACGTATGTTTTTTTTACGGGCATACCTAGAATGCTGTATGACGTACTTTGCTATGTACTTTTAAATAAATCTATGTGTTCGTGTTAAAATTCTCTAAGTGTATCAAAGTACTTAAAGTCGTCTTTTATATTTTAAAGTTCACTAGACAGATCGATGCTTGTTTTGTAAATTTCTGATAGTAAGAGGTTTCAAAATTAACGTGCGGGAATCTAATTTTGACAGAAATAGATAACGTATTTATTTTCAAATAAGCAATGCATCGACTTTATTTCATTTTTTGATAAATTTGTAATAATGAAGTTTGTCATTGAAAAGTTTATTTTGTTAAATAGGAATCTCTAAACACTTCTATTTTATTTTCCGATTTCAAAATTTGATACACAAATAAGGTGGTTTAAACTCCCACTTATTTCTGAAACACGCTTTTTTTTTTTAATTTGAAAGCTTCATAGTTTTATAATTCTCTAATAATCGAAGCATGTGCAGTATAGTTTCGTATTTTAAAATTCTTTAGATAGGGCGAAGCACTTGAAACAGTTTTTACGATTGATAAATCGAAACAACTTAGCGATCCTTTTTGTATTTGGTGTGTAATAAAACTCAACTATTTCTTGCTTACATAATCCTATTTTTATACATATATTTTTATTTAATAATGTTATCATACGTATATATTTTTAATCTATTTACTCCACGTTATACCCGATCATTGTAATCGATCATTATTGGACACTACGCACCAATGTTGATTCTGGGCCAGAATTTAATCAGATGTCTGGGCCCCTGCAGATCTCTTGATCAAAATTCTGGCGTAATGGTTATTTTATGTTTTATTATGGATCAGTTGAGATATTATGCAGTATTGTGGCGTAGCCACAATGATGCATGATAACGAGACTGGTTCAGGATGTTTCATGATGTCAATGACAAATACATGTAATAATCGATTTATTACACAGATTCTAACACCTATGACTTTATAATTATTATTTTTCACAAGATTTTCTTGGCTTTTTTTTTATCCAAAATAATGTTTTTTTTTTTAAAAAGAATTTTAGCATTTATCACTGGTGGTGATATCACCACCTCTTATTTCTTTTATCAAATTTAGAGATAGAGAGCAATTTTAGGCCAAGGTTAGGGTTAGATATAAGGGTTCAAATCTTTGTTAGGGTTAGATTTTTGGAGTTCTGAACATTTTACTTAGTATCTTCGACATGTGTTAGCTAAAGTTGTTGGTGAAACTAAATTGTGCTGGTGAAACTGGTGACTATCTAAAATCTGATTGGCTATTGAATGCAATGGCCAATCAGATTTTATATAGTCATCAGTTTCACCAAGTTTTACCAAATTTCACCAGTTTCATCAGCAATTCTAGTGTTAGCTAGTAGGTTTTGAGATATAGTATTTTCAGTGATATTATCACTAGCGATAAATCGTAATATTTTTTTTAAAATTCCTTTCTTGATTATATTTAAAGATAATTTATAAACAATTATATTTTTTTTTGAACTAGCCTCTTTGGAGTTAAAGTTTTTATTCAAGTTATTTGGGTGAAGAGATTTATAAAGAATCATCTATTACATTAGAGAATACATCTAGCAACATGTATACTTTTGAAGTCTAATTTAAATAGTTTGCCTATTATTATAGGTTCTACACTATATATTATATCTGTAATTTAACTATGGATGTTATCTATTTAAACCTTCTGTAATATATTTGTCAATTAGGAAGTTCTGGATATTTTTTTTAATCATTTAGGATTAATTTATTTTTGAGACATCATTGCTAAAGCTTTTTATATTTACAATCTGATTAATCTAGACTTCAATAACTTATGTTGAATCTAAGGACAAGTATTTGCAAGCCGAAGTTATTACTATTATCTATTTTTGTTTTTGTAGAGTTTATTCAAACTTCAATACTGTATTTTGCTATAAATAAGCACCTCCCGTAAATAAGCACCTCTTATATAAACTATTTTACTATAAATATATGCTATATATAAAATTAGAATCCGAAAATTTCCAAAAATCAGATCGATCACAATTGATCAGATATGTACGTATATGCTACATTTACACATATAATAAAACCAGTTATATATTTATCAAGATAAAGCAAACTCTAATATATATGTATATATTAGGGTTCTGCAAACCAGATACATACTTGCATAAAACAAATAATTAAGAATGGCTGGATGTATGATATAAGTTGGTATACGTATAATACTCAGCATGGTATTAACAGTACCGATATTATATTTTTAACTGATTTAAGTTTCTACATAGTAAAGAGGCGATAGCTAAAAAAAAGAATTACTGGTTAAAATAAATGATTTTATAAAGTGTAAAATATTATTAACAATACTAACAATAATATTATATTAAAGAGTTTTAAAAACAAAGAAATGGCTAGCAATTGTGCACTAGTATTTCTGCTTGACATAATGCCAACAGTATTTGGTATAATGCTTTGGCATAGTGCTGGCATAATGCCAATTATGCCTAGCATGTTTGCTTACAGAACTAATAGCTTTAAAATCACCAGTCTAAAAATTTTCATTAGTCAATCAAATTTTGAGATCATATTTAATATGAAAAAAGGTCAAGAAACTGCCTTCTGCATATTAACAAAAACTTTCTTTACAAAGTTTAAACCTTTTGCAATGCTATAACCCTAACCTAATAGCTAAATATTTTTTCTTATTGAAATTTGTTTTCTTGGTTTTGACAATAAGATTACAAGATATACAATTTTTTTTAGACTAGTAATACTAAACTTATAGCAGAACCCTAGTATACTTACGATGCAAGAAAGTTAAAAACACTATTGCCTTATATGCATAAAATAAAAATCAACTAATTTAATAGACAAAAAAACCAAATTTATCACCTCAGTAGCAACTTATTTCATGTACTATATAGTAATATAAAAAGTATAAAAGCATTGCTTTTTGTATCGAATAAAAACCAACTCTGGAGAGTTCAAAGTTCTAAGTTAAAGAAATCAGAGCATTTAACTTGTAATTCACTTTTGTGCATAAAACTCTTGAAGTTCAAGAGACTTGAAACAACTCTGTTAGAGTTCAATATTGTTTGGCTTTACTACCTCCAATAAGTCAAATCCATAATAATGATTAGAATTTGTGACCAAATCGCGTGATTTTATATAAAGAAATTTGTGACGTAATTTAGAGCACTAATCTGACACTATTGCTAAGAACCCAAGTTACTCTAGTTACTCGGACCAAGTCTTTCCACACCTCAATCATCGCCTTGCCAATATTAGGGTTTGGTTGTACTAGTTGTAGTGCTCTGGTTAGAATAGTTTAGTTAGGATTTAGTATTGTGTTCAGTACTATCTAGAACCAGAAGATTATTTCTAACTTTATAACATTCATATATGTATCTATGTAAATTCTTGGTAAAGTTTCACATAAATAATATAAAATGCTAAAAAAAATAGTATAATTAAAAGTATCAATTAGAAATATCAAATTTAAGTAATTAAATATATCAAATTTATATAATTAAATATATCAAATTAATGTTTTTTTTAGTGTTACATCTAATTTAATTAAACTAGATTCTTTTAATGCTATTATCTATTTACATAAAGAAGTAACATATTACAAGATATATAGTTTCTTTTATATCTACTTATTAATACAATGCAATACTCATTACTTCATGTTCGTTCATTCTGATTATATAGTTTTTATCTGTATTTCTTGTACTAGTTGTAGTAACGATTTTTTCGTTTTTTTTATTTTCACTCTCCAGTACTATATCATATCCTTGAATCTCTTCAACATCATTTGATTCAGCTAACTGATTCTCTAATACATTAGAAATACCACATTTTTCAAAAGACTTAATGATAATTTTTGTCAGAATGTCATTCCATGCTTCCATGATCTAACAGCACATCAA